AACTTGTTCCACTTCCTACAAAAAAAGCTTGAGAAACCCTGTCGTTTGCTCTAGGTTCCTAGCATTTGCACAATTATATTTAAAAAGTAATATCATTACTTAATCGCGAAAAACACTATAAAATAATGCAGTTAGAAGTTATCGAAGTTAGCTAACTGGCATAACTAAGTTATAACTATTGCCAGCAGTTAGAGAAGTTAATGGATTTGTAACTCCGATAACATATGTTATAAGTTACTTGTAAATTCGATAACATATGTTATAACTTACTTATAACTCGGGGGCACCACCTTGTATGTCGCGCACAGACCGGCAACCATGGGAGACTTTTTGCAGTTTGGCGGACAGGGCTGGCTACCTGAGGCCGTTCCCACCACGCTGCTCCTGCAACACATGCCATTTCTCGCCCCCTATACATGGCCAATGTTTGCGGGACCGGACGCTTTTCAAATAGAGCTTGTGGAGCAGGCGCGAGGCCGAAGGTGTAGCCAGGGCCTATGGCGGCATCAAGAAGGGCTCTGTGAGCTGCTGGGCCCTCTGCATGGGCCGATACATTTCCGCATCGGTAGCCCAGTGGTCCCAAACTTGGCAGAAATGAGTGCTGGGCTGGATTTGCTTGACGACCTGTGCCCAGCAAAGGGATTGCCATCTGCGGAAACCCGGCTCATCTCCCCCCTGCGGGCGACGTTTGTCACGGAGATGCCCCGCTCTTCTCTCTGCACTGTCCTGCTGCCTTTCGCAAGCAGCCCGACACACCACGTTGTCCTGCTACTGCCGCCAGAAGCCTTCCAACTGGGGCCCCTTCCGGTCCCCGATGGATCACTCTGCCGCAGGCCGCGCAGACAATGGGCAAGCGGGGATGCGATAGAGGTCTTTTCGGTTGCCGCAGAGGCACGCGGCACCTACAACGAGATGATTGCCAGACAAGCACCGCACTCCACACCATGGATGTGGTGGCAACAAGGACCTGTATCGACTACCCCCATGAGCCACAGCCCTAATACACACCCGGGGGGAGACGATGACCCTCCCACACCAATGTCGACCAGCTCCCGTGATCCCGGAACCCATACCAGAGGCTCGGGCCTCAGCGGTGGGACTTCACTGGTCCACATTCCCGACCCGACCCATGCCCGCAGGCTGAGGTGCAGGCAGGCAATGCAGAAGGCGGTGCCCCTAGCGGGCTGTACGGAGCTTGGTTTTCGCTCGGTACCCACTCCGTTTGGGCGAAGACAGCTCTCGACCGGCGCAGAGGCCCCCCCTACAGCTGCAGTTGAAGGCGGTTCCATGTCGACCCTTCCTGCTCCACTCTGCACCACGCCGGCTGCGCCAGCAGATGACATACGTCAACGACAGCACCTACAGGCAACACACCTGGTAGCCGAGTCCTCCCAGGTTGAGCACGGGACGGTGCGGTCTCCTCCCAGGTCTCCCAGGCCGACAAAGCCAGCGGCTACGACGCTCTGCCTCCAGCAAGCCATTTTACCGCCGGCTACCGCGGTCTCCTGGGAGATTAATCAGGACATAGTGACAGATGCCTTGAAAGGCCATTGCCTGGCCGATCTACAAATTGAGCTGCCAGAGTCCGTTGCCCAAACGGCATGGGGCAGAATCTGGAACCGGCTACCCACCATCCTCCCTTGCCAACCACTGCAGGCCCTGTATCTGTTTACAGATGGCTCCTACTACCCGGGGAAGCGGCAGGCTTCCTGGGCAGTTATCGTGTTGGTCCTGCAAAACAACCAGGTCTACAAGGCAGGTATCTTGGCAGGGCCATGTGCTCTGCAGCCCGATGCGGATGCAGGACATTTCCCGTCTGCATATGATGGCGAGCTGGAGGCTCTCTTGCATGCTTTGGCCATAGGAGCCTCTGCTCCCGTCTGCGCATGCCACTTCGGATCTGACTGCCAGTCAGCTCTGACAGCAGCCTTTGGTTTTAGCGGTCACCAGCAGGGAGCTCTGCTCCCGGCGGCTGCAGTCGGCTTGACAGCCACTCTGGTCGCTCAGGGCAAACAGCTCTATCCGCACAAGGTCGAGGCACACCATGGTTGTGCCTTCAATTCCTTGGCCGATGAGGTTGCTAAGTTTGCTGGCAAAACAGGACAGTGTCTGCCGGCCACCGCAGAATGGGACACTCTGCATGCGGCGATCAATGAAAAGGTGCTCGAGAGGGCCTGGCTTACGGTGCCGAGCTCCATCTTCGCGAACACGCTGCCCCCACTTCGCGAGGACGGCACATGGTCCGCACCGAACACCTTGATACGCAGCTCCGCTCCGAACGCACTTCCTCCGTACTTGCAACGGATCAAGGAAGACGTACAGGCCATCCCCCTGCGGCTACGTCTTCTCACATACAATGCCCTCTCTGTCCGCGGGGCTACTGCCAAGGCTTTGATCTGCTCGGGCCTGCTCCGACATCAGATAGACCTGGCAGGTCTGCAGGAGACAAGGGACCGGGCACAGGGCGTTTCCAGCTGTGAGGACTATTGGGTTTTAGCTTCGCCGTGCGATAAGGGTGGACATTTCGGGGTGCAAATTTGGCTGCGTAAAGCGGCAGGCTGGGACCGCACCAGCTTTGCGATCACGCACTCCGACCCACGGGTCCTTGTTGCTGTCTGCTCTTTGCGGGGGGTGAGATTAGTCTTGATCTGTGCACACGCGCCCACCTCGGCCACCAGCGAAGAAGAACTCACAAGATGGTGGGCTCATCTCAAAAGTTTGCTCGCCAAGATTCCCAAAGTTTGCGCACCACTTCTGTTCATAGATGCCAACGCCCGCTTTGAGGCGTCATCATCCCACGGCCGAACTTTGGAGTCCGCGCCGAGCAACTTCAACGCCAAGTGTCTCCAACACTTTGCGAATGATATCGGCCTGCACATCAGTGCACAGCAAGATGAACAGGGACGCCCGCTTCACTCCTGGCGCAGCCCCAAGGGCACCACCAGCCTAATTGATTATGTTGGATGCCCGGTCGCGTGGGCCGATGGTCACCGGACTGTTGGCAATGTTGACCTCGCCGACCTGCACGCAGACTGGGACCACTTGCCGATCCACACTTGCTTGGCAGCCACTGTCGAGGCCGTGACTACACCAGCCCGCAGCCGAGTTGCCCCGAAGGACCTTCAGTCCGACGAGGGACGCAGCCGGGCCATCCACGCAGTCGCGGCAGCCCCTCTTGTGCCGTGGACAGCCACCTGCACCTCTCATGTCGATGCTCTGCAAGGCTCCATGGTTCAGGCTCTGAGCCACTCCAAGCCTGACTCCAGTCCTGGTCCGCGAAACCCTGTGATCTCCCAGGCCACCCTTGGACTGGTTAGACTCCGCAGGCATATGCGACGCTGCCTCCGTCCCGTCGATCGGAGGGCCGACATGGGCTTTCTCCATCTATGCTTGCAGGCATGGCGGCAACGCACCCAGCCACAGGAGGAGCTCTATCGACAGGCTAAGTCGGCACGTCTCGCCATGGCACGTAGCTATCATGGGCTTGCCGTCCTCAACAAGCAGCTGAGGCAAGCCATGATGGACGACCGGGCGCAGTTCGCCAGGCTGCAGATGGAACAGGCTCGCCACGCCGGCCCAGCTGAGTTTGCACACCGCTTGCGGGCGATCCTGCGCACAGGGCGCAAATTCCGGCCTCCGCCTCTGCTACCGGCGCTCTCCAAAGAACCCACTGTAAGGGCGGATTGGTTATAAGTTGACTTGTCGGGGTTATATTTAACTTACGAGGTGCAGATTACAAGTCAGCTTATAAGTAAGTTATAAGTATCGTAAGTCTTACTGTGTTGTGCAACTCGCAGATTTTCAAGAAACCGACTCTGAAGCGAGAAAGCTTAAAAATCGCAGAAATCATTGCCAAACTCAAAGCGGCATATAGCACACACGCACACAAACAAAACCAGCTTTTTGCTCAAGAAAGCGTGATGATATCATCGTCAGCTCGATGCCACCACTGTGGCAGCCAGTACGGTTCATCGGCTCTCACTTTCCACAGTTTCTGCTTTTGCGTGAGCTGCCATCTGCATCCCCACGCATGGTCAGAGAGATGCTGCAAGCTCTGCAGGAGCAGCCATAAAGCCTGATCATCCCCGAGGCATTGCAACACTACTCCGGCATCCTGCTTGGAGAAGATGAGGACATCACCCACGGAGACTGTGCTCTGCCACATGGTCGTGCTTTTGGCCTCAAGCAGACCAGATGAGGACAGGGCCCGTCGCAGATTGCCGGCAGCTGCTTTGCAAGGCTCGTTCAGCTGCCAGCGTGCCATTCCTAATTTCTTTTGCTGGTGCACCGTTGTCTCTAGCATGATAGTCAAGCATTTTCTCAAGAAGACTCTGGGGACTTTAACCTTGGATTGGTATCTGTCGCAGAGGTTTTGCTTGTAGATCTGGTGCTTTGCTTCATGCGTCATGCAACTTGGCATCATTTTCAAGAGCACACACCCCTCAGACAAGTGAAAGCGATGATGGTGCTTAGGCCGCGTCTCGCCGGCGCCATAAGCATCAACATAGAGTTGTTGGTGTTTTTCTTCAAGTTTCCGCAAGTCTTGAACATCGTCCTCTCCTAGAGGCCGGAAAGCAAACTGCAAGCGTCGTATCTCTGAGTGAAGGTCAGCGAGGCCGTTGAAACTGGCCAGCTCCTTCTCCAGAAGACCGCGGGGCTTGCAAAGCACCTCGAGGTAGTACCGCAGCAGCGGGACCAAGGCAGAGGCATCTTCGGCTTGCCCCTTGTACTGGCCGTCCGCCCAGAGTTTCTCATGGAACAAGCTGCCAATATAAGCGGAACGTGCGTGATTGGAGTTCCCAGGGCCGTGCCATTTAGTGGCTGTCACTGTGTCCTTCAACATTTGCAACGTCAAGCCAGGGGCTCGTTGTCTGAATGCTGCCCACACATTCGCCACTTCCCATGATATCAGGCCTTGGTGGTAGTACAAATGCATGCTGTCAGCAGCACAACAAGAGACCGGCAAAATCTCACGTGCGACTTTGTCATGCAGCAAGGCCTCCGGCAAGCATTTAATACCGGAGGTTTTCACGAAGTTTTTTATTTCTTCACTTTTTTGGAGAGTTCGCAGCTTGTCTGCTGCCGCCCAATGATCTTCGTCAAGAGCCTTTACAAACTTCAGCCGTGAGTGCTCTGAGTACTCCACGAAAGGGGCTCGTTCAACCTGCGAGTTCTTTCGCAAGACATTGGTGCAATGCACACAGCATCGCATGCCGTTAGAGCCCGTGATTCCAAGGCATGCTCGCTGTGCATCATAATCGCACAACAAGTGGCAGTGCCGAGTCAAAGCCGTCGCTTTCGTGACGCCATTGAAGACAAGACTGAAGCCGCCATCAGCAGACTGCCAGATGAAGCGCAAGATGCGTGCGAGAACTGCAGACAGGCCTCCGGCTGCTCGCTCCGCCTCCTCGTGCTGCACCATGGCCACTGGCAGCCAGCACTGCTGCAGGTGGGCACTGGTTCTCAGCTGCGAGAAGGAGGCATAAAACAGAGTTGCTTTTTTCCACTTATGGACCGCCAGGATGTTTCCACCTTGTGCTTCGTCATGATATAAAATCATTTGAAGTTGCGGGTCGTGCTCTAGGCCAGTTAAGAGGGCTTGTGCAAAGGGCGGGCTTGTTGTAGTGAGGAACTGCAGGAGCCGTGGTATGTGTGCTGCGAGAACAAACACCGGTGCGGAGTCTGTGCCAGCTGCAGGCACTGCAGGCAGTTCCAGTTCTTCAAAGCAGCAGCTGGATGGCAGGCGGTCTCTGTTCACAGTGTCCTGAAAAGTTTTTTCCTTTACTGCCTTCTCCGGGCAAAACGTATTCCACTGTTGCAAGACCTGCGCAGGAACGGCGTTTGGCACGTGCAGGGCTTCTGTCAGTTTCCGATGGCTTTCCGGCGACAGCGCCCGCTTCCGGCCCATGTTCCTTCTTTTCCCATGAGCCCTTGGAGAAGGGCGGGACAGGAGGCAAACTTGAGCACCAGTGGGCTGCAGACAGACAGACAAACTGACGGACAGCCTCTCCTGGACACACACACACACAC